GAGTAGAGTTGTCAGGTGCCCCCAGGTGACAGTGGGGCCCATGGGCTGTAGGATGGCCAGCTCCAAGTTGGAAAACTCCTGGGGATTTGGGGGTGGAGCCTGGGGAGGGCAGGGACCTCAGTGCATTACAATGCCATAGAGTCCACCCTCCAAAGCATCTATTTTCTCCAGGGGATCTGATCTCTGTAGTCTGGAAATTAGCTATAATTCTGGGAGATCCTCAGGCCCTAGCTAGAGCCTGGCATTCATGCCCTTGAGCTTGATCCTACAGATAAATTTGTACACTTCAGTTAGGTAGCATTACAGAGTTGTTACATCAAAGAGGCATTACAGAGTTGTTAAATCATCCATAAGTTTACATTTATTGGTTGTCTCTGGGATCAGGCATGAAGCCAAATATCTTCAATGGAAAATCGTTTTGGTTGTTGGGCATGAATTGACTTGCAATGGGTCTCCATGCCTCCTGCATAGAAAATGTAGTTCCTTACCTTGATGGAGTGACACACATTCAGACTTTTGAAATCTCAGTTACCAGAGATACAAGATTGTTGCAAATCGAAGGACATGATTTGTTACTTGGATGGAATGCCTTTTTATGGTATAAGAAAGCAAATTCCCATAAGTACTTTAAACAGCATTGGTTGAGAGCCTCTTTACTTAAAGTTTGGGACGGAATCCATAAAATTTTTTATATTAGATCGAGACTAATAACACCATTAGAGGCCTTTACGCTGCCAAATGCTTATACAGGAGAAGAGACATTGAGGTATCAGGATATTTTGGATAGTAAGGACAATCTTAAACTACCGGAACATCTGTCCTGGTGGCAAAAAGCACAGCTGGAATCAATATATTTGAAGGACAAAAAAGTGGGATTTAATTGTAAAATAACCGAACTGGAAAATGTTATGTTAACAGCAGATAGTAAAATGATAAAGAAAATATATAAAATTTTGTTGGATGATACAATGGTAGATGAAATTGTGAAGAATAATATGATTGCATGGGTTCAGAATTTAGGGCATACTATAAATCTGGAAGATTGGGGGCAGATTTGGGAGAAAAATATTAAAATGACTAATGCTATAACATATAAAGAGAATATGTATAAGATGTTTTATAGATGGTATATTACACCTGATAGACTGGCTAAGCAAAATACTAACTGTTCTGATAAATGCTGGAAATGTAAGAGTAAAAGGGGCACATTTTATCATATGTGGTGGCTATGCGATGTTACAAAAAAGTTTTGGAAATGGGTCCATAGTTTGATGGAGAAGATACTAAGAGCAAAGATTCCATTTACTCCAGAGGTCTTGCTGTTGAATATATTTCCAAATGATTATGAAAAAGAGAATAGGTATTTGACTGTTTATATGATGACAGCTGCAAGAATTTTA